TGAGCTGTGCAAACTTGGTAGCAAGGGATCTCTCCTGGGCTTTACGTGTTTCTTCAAGTCGTTTCTGAATCTCACACCCTTCACTGATTATAGCGTTTAAGTCCCCAACTTTCCATAACTTGAGCCTTTTATCAAGATAGATGTTGTGATCCTTTGCACGAGAGTTTTTAGATGGTTTTTGCAGCATCATAGGAATGAAGATAAATAGTAATCTCAACGCTATACTCTCCCATTCTGTCTTGTCATTAAACAGGTTGAGTAATCTGCTTACTTCAAAAATGAAGGCGTTGCCCACTTTGCCCCGTGGCACTAGGAACATGTTCTTGGTCCATTTCATAATTTCACTGTACATTTCTGTACACTCTCAACATTTGCGCGGGTTTCTTAAGCGCGCACGTACGTTTATTCTTGGCCGTTAATCAGACCCATGACATAACGTTATAGGTGGCAGTGACTGTAATTTTCTTCAACAATTACTGAATTATCCATCCATAAAATGATTTACAAAATGACACCTAAACCTCGTGTTTCGGTGTTCACTTAAACGGTACTTGGCGGCTGAACTGTGGTGTCTGACGTTTGCAGCTAGATCGGACTCTGCATGATATTGTATTAGCAAATTTGTATAGTGTATAATTGTTTAGTGTTTATAATACTCTGCAACCTGGTAGCACGGCTGACACAAAAACAAAATGTTGGCCTGGCTTGTGCATAACCAAGTAAATAACACGCACTCCGATAAAAGCCGTCTGGAGAAACTCCGCAAAATGTTCATTGTAGTCAACGGGCACAAAGAAGCACTACTAGCAATTGTGTCCTTTACCCTCCTACATAATTTGAACATTTTTGTGGCTAACTCATTGAACAACATCTGAATTAAAATGTGTCTAGTATTAAAAGATTCAGTAAGTAATTTTTTCATGTACGCTGTACACTGTAGTTAGTAAATCAAATCAAACTTTTTCGATCAGCCGCGCGCTGAACCAGTGTTGCACTAGGTAAAAATTGTGTATATTTTGTTCATTTTTGAGTGTAAATTAATTTATTAATTTATCACAAATTATTTTATTATAATATAACCACTTATGTGAAATGGTTATTTTGACTTTAAATATTTGAACTAAATATGAATTGATTGTGGGTATAAAATAAAATTTGTTTTACTAAAAAAAAAATTTGTTTTACTAGGCTAAATCAGCAGCATTGGATATCTCACTTAAAGAAGCATAATTACCCCATTTAACTACTTTAACTAGCTTAGCCGGTTTCTTCTCTAGGGCCTTACAATTCTTACATACCCACATTACTTCTGAGTGTTGCCCAAGTTTTTCAAAAGTTTTTTTGTGCATACAACACTTAGTATGATACCATTTTTCACAGGGACCATCACACTTAACGCATTCGAAGCCGGTGACATCATGAGAGCATTTACCACATGGATACACAACAGAAGGGGCATCAGGGTTGCTTCCATTTCTGATTGGAGCCTCAACTGGGCTATGATTGTTAGAAGTTCCTACTTCAACAGAATGATATGTTTCTACTACTTTAACTGAGTCTACTACTTGTACTCTAGTAGCAGGGAGGGATTGAGTGTGCACTTCGATGTACAGAGTTTTTTGATACTGAATCGGGTTAATTAGGTCATTGGTAACTCAAATCACCAAGGGGCACATTTTGTGTCGCTAGTCCCAACCCTGTGGGGGCCACGCCCATATTTCACATTAGGCGCATGTATGGGAAATATGTATCTCAGCTTCTGAAGGTCTTAGAGACTCAAACTTTGGCTTAAAATGACCGCAATGCACATATTTATATTGACACTATGAAGGGTATAAAGGCCCAAAATGCTTACTTTTGGAAAAAATCCAGAAAAACCGATTTTCACTGGGGCGAGAGTGAAAAAATCTACTCTAGAAGCTTATTGACATCGAGTATGCAGTTTGGTGTCTACAACTTTTCTAGAAACCAGGTCTTTTGTAAGGTCATTCTGGATCAGAATTGATAAGGTACGCAATTTCTATCAGTAATCCCAACCCTAGGGGGACATTTCTAAATTACCCTCAGGCGCAAATATATGACTTTTGTATCTCGGCTTCTGAACGTTGTAGGGGCCTCTCTTTTACCTCAAACTAACTGCAAAGGCCACATTTATTTACAAGCTATAAAGCAACATAGGGTTTATAGTGCTTAGTTTTGGAGATATTCATTAAAAACTGTTTTAACTTTCGTGCATCCTAAGTTAGTAACACATGTACTTAATTTTGGTATCCCGGGCTAAAAAAGTCTTACAGATACTTCACTTGCAGCACAGCAAAATGTTCAGCATGAACACATTCAGATAATATTTATGGAGCAACACAATTCAGTTTCAGAAGCTCCTTCCAGCTATCTTATCTTATCCACAAATGTATACATCTAACCATCTCTCTTGTTACTTCAAACCACTTCAACCCCAAATTTATACATCTAACCATCTCTCTGGTTACTTCAAACCACTTCAATCCCCAAATTTATACATCTAACCATCTCTCTGGTTACTTCAAACCACTTCAATCCCCAAATTTATACATCTAACCATCCCTCTGGTTGCTTCCATCTCGTTAAAGCCAAGGATCGACCGAGACTGCTTTTTTGACCGGGACTGGGAAAAAGTGCTGGGACCGGGATTAAGACCGGGACCGGGATTAAGCCGGGATCCCGGTCTTACCACAAGTTGGGCTCTCTTCAGTACTGTTTGGCTATTATGGCTAATTACCTCCAATCCAACCTCATGTAGTAGAATCTACTTCTAGTTTCCTTCAATTCTGCTACCTCCATTCTAGCTCTTTCTAGCAATCTCTGAATGCTACTTCCTGCTATATCTAGCTTCCACCAACACCCAATAATTGTTGTTATGCTACAACTAGCACTGCAAATTCTAGCCCTATCCAGCACCTCAGACTTACTCCTACTCTGTTCAGCTGCAGCTCATTGGCCGCTGTACCAAAAACCGGTCCCCAAACAAACAAACAAACAGCTATCACCAGCACCTGCAAATTCTAGCACTATCCAGCAACCTCAGACTACTTTCTGCTCTATCCAGCTAACACTAGCAAACGGTACCCACAAATTTTAGCTTCTTCTAGTTACTTCGGGCTACATCCATCCTTATTCAGCTAAATGAGCACTCTCAAATTCTATCTGTTTTACCTAATTCAGGCTACCTCCAGGCTCCAGCTAGAACTTTAGGGTGCTTGTGCTATCTGGATATAGCATAATGTAGTCTGAGTTTGCTGGATAGGGCTATAATTTGCAGGTGCTAGTGGTAGCTTAACAAGTAACAACAATTAGTGGGTGTTGGTGGAAGCTAGATAGAGCAGGAAGTAGCATTCAGAGGTTGCTAGAAATAGCAGGTTTCCTCTTCCTCAATTAACTGGAAATTGTTGAATGCAGCTGAGGCAGCCTGAAAGAGCCAGAATAAATTGTTGCTGGTGGTGTTATAAAAGGCAAGAGGTAGCTTAAGTTAAGTTTGCTAGAAAGAGCAGAGGTTGGAGGGGCCAGGGGGCCTTGCAGTAGCAGCTAAATAGATGTAGCCAAAGTAAGTGAAAAGAGCTGGAGTTGGTGGTTTCTGCCCACTGGTGGTACCTGTATAGAGCAGGAGGTAGCATTCAGAGGTTGCTAGAAAGAGCTAGAATTATAACGTGCTGGTGGTAGCTGTGTAGAATAGGCATGACATGGAAGTAGCAGAATTATAGGTAGCTAGAAGGAGATTCTACAACATGAGGTTAGATTGGAGGTGATTAGCCATAACAGCCAAACAGTACAGGAGAGAGCCCAACTTGTGGTAGATATAACGAGATAGTTAGATTTTCATGTATAAATTTGGGGATTGAAGTGGTTTGAAGTAACCAGAGAGATGGTTAGATGTATACATTTGTGGATAAGATAAGATAGCTGGAAGGAGCTTCTGAAACTGAATTGTGTTGCTCCATAAATATTATCTGAATGTTTTCATGCTGAACATTTTGCTGTGCTGCAAGTGAAGTATCTGTAAGACTTTTTTAGCCCGGGATACCAAAATTAAGTACATGTGTTACTAATTTAGGATGCACGAAAGTTAAAACAGTTTTTAATGAATATCTCCAAAACTAAGCACTATAAACCCTATGTTGCTTTATAGCTTGTAAATAAATGTGGCCTTTGCAGTTAGTTTGAGGTAAAAGAGAGGCCCCTACAACGTTCAGAAGCCGAGATACAAAAGTCATATATTTGCGCCTGAGGGTAATTTAGAAATTTCCCCCTAGGGTTGGGATTACTGATAGAAATTGCGTACCTTATCAATTCTGATCCAGAATTACCTTACAAAAGACCTGGTTTCTAGAAAAGTTGTAGACACCAAACTGCATACTCGATGTCAATAAGCTTCTAGAGTAGATTTTTTCACTCTCGCCCCAGTGAAAATCGGTTTTTCTGGATTTTTTCCAAAAGTAAGCATTTTGGGCCTTTATACCCTTCATAGTGTCAATATAAATATGTGCATTGCGGTCATTTTAAGCCAAAGTTTGAGTCTCTAAGACCTTCAGAAGCTGAGATACATATTTCCCATATGTGCGCCTAATGTGAAATATGGGCGTGGCCCCCACAGGGTTGGGACTAGCGACACAAAATGTGCCCCTCGGTGATTTGAGTTACCAATGACCTAATTAACCTGATTCAGTATCAAAAAACTCTGTACATCGAAGTGCACACTCAATCCCTCCCTGCTACTAGAGTATTGGGATTGAGATTTATTTGACAAGGGTTTTTCTAATCTGACTTGACGTTTAATTGACAAAGGATTTTCTGATCTGACTTGAGTTTTAATTGATAAGGGTTTTTCTGGTCTGATGTGATGTCGAAGTCCGTACCTTGAAGAAGATGTGAATGGTTTCTTGTCATTAGGATTTGAGGAAGACATATTAGGAATTAGAAAGCCAAATTAGGTGACATTTTAGGTGACATGAGTTCATTGGACATACCTCAAATTATTTGTTATATAGTAGTGTTGAAAGTATTAAAACTGAAGTATAAAGAAATTTTTAATTAGCATTGTATAGTTTAAAATATTTATAGCTTATTATAACCATTGATAAATTTAAGCCATAATCTTTCGCCTGCTCTCCAATATCCACCTTGAAGGTGCATTTTTAATCCTTGAACTACACAATATAAAATCAAGCATGTTTTAGTGTAGACTTTTTGTCACAACAAGACTGCAACCTAGATAGTAAAAACTTTAAACGGAACCCCTAATGTCTGCTAACAATTTTTCGTATAGTCCTAATGTGAGCCTTGTCTCTAAAAACTTAACTGAACTAGCGTTTTGGTGTGTGCAAAAGCTCCCAGGCACGCGCATTGGCCCCGTTAGTTACCTGTCCTTCCAAAACCAAACAAGCAGTCAAGGACAAAAAGTCATACACCAAATGGGCATTATATTTTATGAATTGTTTTACATCTTTTTATTCTGTAAAATGTGCTAAAATTAAATTTCTTGTTTCATTGAATTTCTTGTTTCATTGAACTGTCAAATTTAAGCCAGATATGGACGCAACTGCTGTGAAAGCTATCTTTAAGATTGCTAAGGACAAGTTGACTGTCTTAAAGAAGAGCACTATTACCTATGAAAGTACCCCATCAAATTAAGAAAGAGCAAGAGGACTTTGATGTATTTGTCGCAGATGGAATCCCTCGATGGGCACAAAAACTGAGAGATGGTCTGCACAACGTTCAAGGGACGCTAGGAATGTTCCTAGGGGGATGATGTCCTAAATGGTAATGATGGAAAGAGGGAACAGATTGTTATGTACAATAAACCCAACTCACAAGCTGACAGACCTAATGGCAACAACAGGAAATGTTGGATATGCCTAGAAAGCGGACACTATGCCAACCGATGCCGTAAAAGTGTATTCGTTGCGGAAAAGAAGGGCATTGTGTTAAGTTGACAAAAAACCAATTTGACAATTGTATAAAAATTGTATTTTACTTATGATTATATGGCATCATCTTGCTCTATCCAGAGCCCTTGCGCTTGCAGTAGCGCGCGCCCGCCTCACGGCGGGCTCACTTGTGAAACAAGCGCGCCCGCAGTGGCGCGAAAGCACATGGTTAGGTGAAGGCATCATCTTAGTGAACAATGTTGAAAAGGACGTCTTCTTAAAAACATTTTTACAAAAATACTTTTAGCACAGCTTACGTTGTTCATTGTTAATGGACTAGCCCGGCGCAGCACTTACCTCGGGCAACATTTTGAAAAGAAAGCAGCGCGCTACTTCTATTCAAAGAAGACGAGTAATATCCGTCAAAGCTTGGAGGACTTCGCCGCTTCGACGCGCCGCGCGAACTAGCATTCTTGCTTCGCAGAGCAACGATCTCGATGGGTTGACATCGTCAATCATGAATCAACGTCAAAGCTTGCGTAGTGGCACTTTACCTGGGGACCTCAGGCTATTATGTTCATGAACATATAAAATAGAGATCATAGCGGAATATAATGCAATGACAGGCTGAGCGCCGCACAGTAAAGTGGCACTGTAAAATACATTTTAAAGTTTAATGTATTTTTTATAACCAAATATGCTTTAATCAATTTAAAAATTGAGCGTGCTAAATCAAGTTTTACTGGGCCGCGGCGCTCTGCCTGTCATTCTGCCTAATCTCTATTCTATTATTATATTAATGTTTATGGTTGATTGACATGACAATGCCAACCCATCAAAATCGTTGCTCTGCGAACCAAAGCAAGGATCGACCATGCGAAGCAAGAATGCTAGTTCGCGCGGCGCGTCGAAGCGGCAGAGTCCTCCAATGCACAATGATTATTATGGACATAAATATAATACCCTGAGATCGCGGCAGGTAAAATCACTTTACACTCATTAATCGCGATTTTTCTAGGAGCAGAAGGGCTCTGACGCGTTTAAATCTGTCGGATCCAGCTTCTAGCTCCGCCAACGATTTCTTCACAAAGCAAGTTAAAATCCGCATGGAAGTCCATAATCACCTAAGTAAGGGCAAAGGGTGACGAGAGGCATTATTTGATGCGCAGCGCGCCCGGTATACAGATTGCAGTAGTATATAGCGCGCATTTCGTTACGCAGTTACCTAGCTTGCTACTCTATCGCTTTAGTTTCTTTAAAACTGAATAAAATGAAACATAAGACTCACTTCAATCGGAAACCAGTTTCATAAATCGAATAATACAATTTTCCGCGATACATCAGCCGATGAATAACTTTAATGTTTAAACCTCCAAGTTCTAACTCTACAAATAATTTCAATCTGAAGCTCTTGAATCGGGTTTTAAGCATTATAAACTTAAAGGAAATAAACTTGAGTGTAGTTCAGTTGAAACTTAGGGATCATTTCTATAGAAATAAAATCTGAAATCCTGAATTTGCATTTGTCTGCTATAATAAATTTATTGATATCGCAACAAAAACCGTTTTTCGTCAGATACCTCAAATCCCAAAAGTCAAATAAATACCAAGAGTATCGTCTTATCTAATCACAATATTTCCATTCTTACAAGATGTATCAAATGTCAAAAAAGTTCTGTTATTTGTAAAGGATACATCAATATTAATTGTTCATACTGATAACCTCATCTTCTAGTCCTAGGTTTCATATGGCGGTATATACCAAACCCTGAAGAATAATGTGTCCTGGGGTCTCTAGATGGGTCTTCAACATACCCTTCACCTCTTCGTCCTCGTGCCGCACGGTTATTGGACTGAGGAGGATCGGATCTCCAATTAGGATTCCTACTAAACTGCTGCTCGGTTTCAAAGCCAGGTCTACGGTAAGTTTCCCGAGGAGGCTCAACAAGATACGGATCTACATAGCCCTCCCTGAACGGTCCCCGTGATTTAGAATACTTTTTCGACTGATTTTCAGGCTGACGATGTTCTATCGTCCTCTCTCCACCCCTTTTTCGCTGTCCAGATGACTTTTTAGCTCCCCTCTTAGAACGAGAATTGGTGTTGTTGTAGTCAAAATGCACGTTAGTATTTCTAGACACTTTACTCTGAGCTGGAGCCACTTCCATTTTCCGTTTGCCAGAGCTCATGACGATATCAGATTCCCCCTCGACCAGAGGGTCAAGTGAGAGTGAGTTCAGGTGGTATGTTGAGCTGTCATCAAGGTCTGCCCCCGCTTCGGCTCCCATCTAAATTAAAAGAATGTTAAATAACATTTAAAACCATGGAAGTGCATAAGAACAAATCTAGCATATAGCTGGTTCCAGTAAATTGAACTGATAGGTGATTTTATCTTAAGTGTAAAGTCTAAAGTCGACATAAGTCGTTGTAACTCCCAATTTCAATGAATAAGAGTTGAGGTAGAGAAAAAAAGGTACGAACCTGAAAATCATTATCTTCCTCGTCAAATTGCGTGACGGGTTCAGCTAAAATCTCACTTACAGACGTTTCCTCCTTCCACACCACCAACTTCCTACTGGCGCCGCTCCCTCTACTCTTGTGCTTCAACCCGTACTTTCCTGACAACTTGTGTATCATTTTCCGCTCCAAGTTGTCCAACTCATCCGTGAATTCTAGTTTCATGAGATCTGCGTTCCGGAGAAAGTCGAGGAGCTGCTGTTTTACCGATTGGTGACAAATACCAGCCTCCGAGTTTTGGGAGCCAAGTCCACCCCGGTTCAACTGGCCAATAGTACTGATAGGATTTACTCTGCCCTGCCCATCCTTGCCAAGTCCAGTATCGGAAGTCCACCCCATTGCTTTCAGGAGCTTACACCCCACGTTATCCTCAGCTATTCTGTTTTCCTCATAATCATCTCCTTTACCGCTACCTTTGCCAGTCAAAATGTCCTTAGAAATTTTACCGACAGCCTCTTCGTCAACATTTTGAGGAGATACGATAACCAAACCTTTCTTTTTCAGATATTTTAGAGCATTGTCAGCGCAAGCGTGCTTAGCGTCCTTAAAACTAGTGGCCCTACCATCAGAAACATGAACGTCATTGATGAAAAGAGAAACCGTTCTTTTACCTTCTGATATACCCTCATTTTCCACAAAGGAGCAGGGGACTTTACAAGTTTGAGAAGAGTTGTAAAACAGTACAACTGGTGGAGGCTGCTGTTCAAACCCACTGTAGTACATCTTGAATTTTAGATCTTTTAATTTTAAACGCTGGTTGACCAGGGTTTCATCGTACATTGCCTCTTTTTCTAGCTGTTGTAATTCTGCTAATTTTTCCTCAAGTTCTTGGTTTTTTGGTGGAGGATCCCAATCTTTAATAGATTCAAGGACGGGAACAGGATACGAACAACCTACGATAAAGCGTTATTAGAAATGTTGTGAGAGCACATGAAGTCTTTTAATTCAAAACTAAAGTTAATTTGATCAGTTTTCTGGTAATCCAATTATCTCATATATAAACAAAAATAAAAATATCCTAATTTCGATAAAAATGCAAAACAATTGCAAATTGCTAGGTTTCTAATAATGAGAAGGGACTCACCTAAGAAGTGATAATTAGCCCAAACATTGGCAAGGGCAGTTGCTCGGAGCAGACCCAGACTCTCAGTGTGCTGTTGTATTTTGTAAACTCTGCTCTTGTACTGATACTGACTTTCCCACGGGAATTCGGGAAACTCTGTGCTACCACCCCAAGGGAGTTCTGTAGCTGTTATCGAGCTCGCAATCGATCCACTCTCTTCATTTTTGTCATTGTATCCGAAGCCGGTATGTATGCTACCATCAGTTTCATCATTATATCCGAAGCCAGTATGTTTGCTATCGCCAGTTTCATCTCCATATCCGAAGCCGGTATGTGTGCTACCACCAGTTTCATCATTATATCCGAGACCTGTGCTACCAACCCACGGGAATTCTGTAGATGTCATGCCTTCATAAGATTATAAAAGATTGGTTAGGGTCAGTAAAATTGAATATCTTTAATCACTAACCAGTCAGTAATTATTGCAATAAAATTTAACATTTACACAAAAACATGTGGAAAGAAAGGAAGGAAGGAAGGAAGGAAGGAAGGAAGGAAGGAAGGAAGGAAGGAAGGATGGAAGGAGGAGGGAGGAGGAGGAGGAGGAGGAAGGAGGAGGAGGATGGATGGAGGGAGGGAGGGAGGGAGGGAGGGAGGGAGGGAGGGAGGGAGGGAGGGAGGGAGGGAGGGAGGGAGGGAGGGAGGGAGGGAGGGAGGGAGGGAGGGAGGGAGGGAGGGAGGGAATTAAATGTTACAATGACATCATACTGTTTTTTGACAATAGTAATTTCAAATAATTATACCAACGTGGTTTAGCTACATCATTCAGGGTTGGCCATAACAGTAAAAAATCGCAAATGCGGGGAATTCTGTAGATGTCATGCCTTCATAAGATTATAAAAGATTGGTTAGGGTCAGTAAAATTGAATATCTTTAATCACAAACCAGTCAGTAATTATTGCAATAAAAAAGGAAGGAAGGAAGGAAGGAAGGAAGGAAGGAAGGAAGGAAGGAAGGAAGGAAGGAAGGAAGGAAGGAAGGAAGGAAGGAAGGATGGAGGGAGGGAGGGAGGGAGGGAGGGAGGAAGGAAGGAAGGAAGGAAGGAAGGAAGGAAGGAAGGAAGGAAGGAAGGAAGGAAGGAAGGAAGGAAGGAAGGAAGGAAGGAAGGAAGGAAGGAAGGATGGAGGGAGGGAGGGAGGGAGGGAGGGAGGGAGGGAGGGAGGGAGGGAGGGAGGGAGGGAGGGAGGGAGGGAGGGAGGGAGGGAGGGAGGGAGGGAGGGAGGGAGGGAGGGAGGGAGGGAATTAAATGTTACAATGACATCATACTGTTTTTTGACAATAGTAATTTCAAATAATTATACCAACGTGGTTTAGCTACATCATTCAGAGTTGGCCATAACAGTAAAAAATCGCAAATGCGATTAATTGAAAGTTTTAGGCCCTGAATTTATTTTAAAAAACTTGCTGAAATTAGGTGATTGCTTCCTCCATTATCTTTTATGCAATATGAACATTCAAAACAAAATTCGAGCTCCAAGAGTCTTATCATTACAAAGTTACTATAAAACACTAGGTAGCGATTATCTTCAATGAGGTGGCTGCGGGTAATTATGACGTGTTGGAGGGTAAGGTCTGTAGCGGGGAGGAAATCTGTTTTCCTTGTGATGATAAGGCCTTTCATTGGGGCTCATGTTTCTGAATTGAGGTATCTCATAAGGGTGATATGGACGGTTTTGAAGTGGTCTTTGGAATCTGTGCTCAATGACATGGGGTTCAGGAACCTCTGGTGGTCTCTGCTGATGGCTCCTATTCACAGGATCATGAGATAGTTGCTGTGACAATAGGTTTTGGGTTGATTGCTTTTTATTTGACTGTATTTGATGAATCTCTTGAGGTTTTGGTTGATGTCGGATGATTGAAGCAGTACGAGGTGGTTGCTGCGACAGCAAGCTTTGGGAAGCATGGGGAGCTGGAAGTAGAACTTTATTTCTAGAAAAAGTGGCATGATGATCTAAAAATCTTGAAGATCCGGCTACAGAATCATCATTATGTAAATGCCCCTGGTCAACTGAATTGAAAGTAGTCCCTAAGGATTTAGTTTCATCGTTGATCTCGCCATTATCGATATGATCATCATCAAATTCATATCTATCGACATCGAAGAAGTCACCATTGACCTCAAGTTCATCTCCATCGTTATCAGAGTCGTCATAATTGTCGTCAAGCTCTTCCCCATCGATATCATCGTTGTCATATCCATCAAGATCATCGCCACAAAGAGTCTCACCATCGATATCGTCATCGACATAGAAGGTTTCTCCATCAATATCATCTTCAACTCCCCGACCGTCTCCATCATTATTTTCGGATTTCGAATACGTTCCCGGATCATAATTATCAAGTGTAAACCCTTCAAAGTGACTTCGAGCTGCCGGGATTAATGATTCTTCGTCAGATATTTCATAATCATTCTCTTTCAGCTCACACTTCTCAGTGGTAATTCCCACAGCCTGGACGATCGGCTTCCAGACCATCGCGATATGTCGTCCTTTGTAGAAGACACTCTTCAATTTGAGTTTACAACTTTCTGACATTATTATTCTACCATCGTTTTCATTAAGAGGATCAACAAATTGCAATTTCCAGGCATCAACATTATTTCTGAATCGAACCAGAATTTCTTCTAGCGCTATTGAGCCCATAATCGATCCATTTTCTGAATTTGTATCTTTATAACCGAGACCGGTATGACCAGAATGACCAACCCAAATTTCAATAGGATTTGCAACACCCTGACGATGTTTGCCAATACTAGTGTTTGGACTCCATCCTAGATTTTGAAGAATTTTGAAGCCAACATTATCATCCTGTATCTTACAGTGAGATGCAGATAAGAGAAAATCCATTCCAAGGTCTTTCTTGGAAAAAGACCACACGTGTTCGGGATGATGAAATTTCTGAAGAAATTTGTTCCACTTTGCATTATTAAATTTCGGTATACCTCTAGCTCTGGTCCTCAGGAAATTAACAGTTTTCTTCGCACAATCATCTTTGGCTTCCGCGAACGTCTTACCTTTACCCAAAGAAACCCAAAATTCTTTCTTGATATTCAGATTACGCATCATAAGTTTGACAGTCATTTCATCTTCACTTGCAGTGTCCATGAGTTCAATGGCGAACTTACATAGAAAACCTGAGCAAATCGCAGACTTCTCTAACAATAATAAGGGATCAGGACGGGCTTTTTTCCACCTTTTTGGCAAAAATTTGAATCCAGCGAAATGAGCTTTAAAACTTTTCAAAAGCTCAGGATTTATCGAATCTTCGTCAAAAAGTAAAGGTTGCGTTTTAGGAGGTGTCTGCTTCGGTTTAACTGCATCGACTATCCCTTTTCTTTTTAGCTCCTTCTTTTTTTCGTACTTTAATTGAGCCTGCATCTTGTTACGCTTCCTTCTATCTTTTTTGACCTCTTTCAATTGAATCTTATCTTTGGTCAGTGACTCTCCCGGCTCAGCGAAAACAGTTTTCATACCGGCTGGCTTTTGTAAATATAAATGTCCAACAGTAATTCCATCATCTGAAAACTTCTTCTTTGTTTTCCCTTTTCTAAGTAATATTCTCTCTACTGGAGGGACCTGAAATGTGTGGGAATTGAAAATTAATAGACTTGGTTATTTTTAGAAAGGAAAGCCATATTTTTTGACATGTGACAGTAATTAACCAATTAGCATTTAGCAGCCTGCAGCGACTAATCCATTCCGCGAATCGATGTGACATGTCAAAAACAAATATGGCTCAACTCCAAATCTTTTTAGTACACTATTTAAAGTCAACTATAGCCTAGATGTTGGAGAAAAGTGGTAGCGAAATTTAAATTTTATAAAAGGATATCCTTAAAAAACATTGCAATACTGAAGAGTTCAGATTGAAAAGATTCAAATAAAACAAATTGTGTTTTATTGAATTGATCTTCCAAAACCAAATTTCAGTACCAAACGACTTGTGTGTCAGTTTACAGACATTAGCGGAATTATGTATATCCTCACGGAGAGCGCGAGACAGATTCTCGACACCAAGCTCAAGTTTCATTAAGAAAGGATCCATGAGGAAGTCATGGAGAAGACCAGCTGCTTTCAAACGCACAGCTTCAAACTCTTCAGTTGGATCTTCGCTGTTTGTATCAAATAAAAGCTTATGTTGAGAAACCTTCTTGATAGCATCTAGCGGTACATGCTCAGCTGCAATAATCTGAAAACCCTTGCAGCGAATCAAATATATCAAACTATTGTTGATAGAAGCAACTGTAGCTTGTTTCTCTGTCTGAGCGACCCCGTCACTGATCCAAGTTCCATTTATCTCAAATCTTACCGTAACCGGATTTCCAGCGTGGATTACAATTGTTCTAGTTTTAAGTTTGCATATTCTGACAATGTTCTTCATAAGGTTATCAAGTCTCACTGTAGTGGCATAAATACCTCTGAAATTGCCCATACCGAGAGCATCAAGGTCTACATCAGGATTTACAAGCGTCTCCTCAAACGCATGCGTGTTGGTCCAAACTCCACCTTTTCTAGCTGCTAAATCAGGCAAGTCAGAGTGGAATTGGGAGGAGGGACCAGGTTGTGTATTCATAGTCAGGTACCCTGCAGAATAAGTTTAAGGGAGGCATTTATTAATTTATTGGAATTAAACAACTTGAAATTATTAAACGGCACCGATATCATTTCTTTAGAAGGACAGAACATGATTTTACTAGAATCGTCAACTAAAAAACAATGAAAGAGAAATCTACATTTAGACTTTCTTTAATTTAACCTCATCGAAACCGTACAGTTTAATAATGCGACAATAAAACGCGAGGATCCAAATAATAGAAAATTTAAAGCTAAAATAAATAAGTTGTAAAAAGTGTGAATAAAATAAGATGGAAACTTTCTGTTACAAACAAATTACATTACTCTAAATTTAAAAAAATTAACATAACATAATAAATAGCCACACTAGTATTATGATTGTTTCACTAATTGCATACATTTCTATAATATTATTTGATTATACACATTAATTAACTGGTATGGGTTTTTGGAAACTTGATTAAGAAAACAACATAATGATAACATATCCCACAGCTAAGCAGTGTTTCAAACAAAATTAGCAAATTTTTGTGAGACTAATTCATAGCGCTAAAAAATTAAAAGCAAACGAAAAATGCTGAGTCACCATACCTATGAAGCGCTGAAAAGGTTACCGGGCTTAACTATCCTAAAAACTTCTTAATTGCCTCAACAACCTCAGCTTTCTTAGCAGTAGAGGGTACCTTCAGTCGGACACCTTTACAGTACAGCTTCAGATCAGTTACAGTCACTTTCGAGAGTGTTCCTTCTCTTTGTCTATTCTGCACCTGCAATGAGAATCACTTAGCGTGTGAAGAATAATAAGTTGATGATGAACTTATAAATTAAAATGGGCCACTAATCATGATCATACATAAGCCACTAATAATGATTGAGGTCAAAATTAAACCCTTCATATACATCAATAAACTTTACCATTGGTGAGGAGGAGACGTTTATTATTTCCGAAAAAAGGCCCAGAAAGACCCTAGTTAGATTAATATGGGAAGGAAAAAATCGCTCAAACAGTTTAAAAAAAATTGTGAAATGACTAACCAATGCGATGACGCGCTTATAATCTGGTTTCTTACAGTCTTCAGGAATTGTGTAACCAGCCGGAAAGGCAACGTTATTAAACTGCGAAATCTCTTTTGCCGCTCTTTTGTTCATACTCTCAATATTCGGCTTAGTGCAGTCTTCTGTCTCTTCTATTGCATCCTTCTCTAGTGCTATGGCTTCAAGAGTTTTGTTAAACTGCAGAACTTGCGGGTTTTCTATTAAGTCAGAGCTAAACTGCTTAGCTTTTAGTTTCAGGACCAACGATTTGGCAGCATCGACTTGTGCAGTTGATGGATCTACGCTGGGCTCATAGTCCAGTTTTCTGATATCATCAGCAAAAGGTAAGTGTATAAGATGGAATCCCATAGGTCGAAGTTGCTCGTTATCTTCATCCCTCTGTTCTAGTTGAGGAAGAAGAGCCCCGATATAACCGGGAGTACCCTCACGAGACACACAGTGCACCATACCTACCATCTTCCGAGCATGGAGACGTTTTAGCAGAGCTACAAAGAAATCAGTGCTCCCGTTAAACACAGTTTCACAAGGCCGAATGAAGGTAGATTTACCAGCAACATGGTGAAACTTTATATCCCCTGCTGGTCTAAACCCGATCAGGTAAATACCTTTATCTGACTGTACTTTCATCTGATCAACTTCATCCTGCCCAAAAATGACGGTTTCTTCACCCAGTTTGCAAGATCTGTAAACTTCGTGAGGCAGCAGCACAGACCGGTCAGTCTCCCTGACTACTGAGGATACACAAACCACTGGCTCGTTCGTCTTACTGCACAGATTAACATGCTTCGCTGTTGATTCACCGAATAAATTACAACATTTCACACCGATTGTTAGTTCCGGATTAACAACAAAGTTGATATTCGCTGTCATTCTAACTTTACTTTCCCTGCGGTGCACTCTCATAGACAAGTCCTCAATGTCATTAGTTGGGTTGGTAACCTCGTGATCAGGTACAAGTACGGAGTAAAACTTGTCCATATCAAACTGACTGCCGTCCACTGAAGGAAGAGTAATTATAGAGATAGTGATGCCGAGTTCAGACATATCCCGTGCTTTGGTTGCAGCAAGTTGTCTGGTTTTAGTGTCGATATTGTGGGGTTCTGACACATTGGTGAAGATCATGACGAGCCTGGTCCCTAGTTTCTTAACACAGCTGGTGTAGATGCTACTGCAAGTCCAGAGCAGGTGATACGGAGAGTAAACCTGCCCGTGCCCAAACTGGTACTTCCCTGATGCAAACTCGTTTGAGGTCCTCTGAAGAATATCAACACAGGTTTTATCTGGGGTGTCGAGAGGTAGCAGGACATGAAGACCCTGATAATCGTTAGTTTTAGTGTCTGTCCCACACAGCAAGACTCCAATGTGGTCCAGAGATCCACTGATCAATTTGTTGCAATAGGTGGCTTTGATAGCTTCGAGAGCTAGAACCACTCTGGAAACACCAGTTTCGTTATCTTTGGTAAGCATCTCATCACTACAATCCACAACACAAAGAGTGCCACTTAAAGAGGAAGTGAAGGAGAAGGAACCTTCTTCTTGGTATTCATCTGTTTCAAATGGGTCATCGAATTCACTTTCCATGCTCCCTACAATAGATTAAGATTAGATAAACAGTTAAAAGGGGGAGGGTTTATCACGATTTTCGATGTTCGAATTTTAACTTAACACGATCTCACTTATTCTTACATGCAAGATTGTTTACAAAGAAAAGCTCAATCACCAAGTCTTGTGAACACACAATCGGCTAAGGTAAAATTTCCAGTCGGATTCTCATCTTGATCGACTGATTCTAATTGCTGGATCAATTCATTCTGGATCAATGCAATAACAATAGATTTAAAGCGACATAAAATTAATTGATTATTACAGTAGCACATCATACAATATATTGAGTAACCTTTTAAGAATAACAACAATTGTCATGATATTGTAATAATTATAGTAATTGGGATAATTTATGCGATAAAAACAAGTGGCCTTAGACATGTCACACTTCTTGAATGCACTGATTATACCAACTATACAGCAAGATCAGACCCTAAAGTAAGAGACAACCCTTGTCTTGTGGCAAAATTCAAACAACTTGAGCAAAAGGGCAACTTATGTAAATAATTTCATACAATGGCAGTAGCAAAACAAGCGGCTTATCTTTCTCAGTTTGAGCCACCCCTGGAGAACCATGATGAATACTGAGATTGGTATTCAGCCCCAGATGATGATGAATAAAGGTCTTCTGATGAAGTCTGATGATGGGAGGGTATAGAAGAGGCAGGATAATACGGTACCTGCTCATTGGTTTGATAATTCACATTAGTGTTCTGTTGATAACTAGGATCACTAACACTTTGAGTAGAGTAACTAGGTATAGTGCTTCTCTTCTGAGAACCGAGTGATGTGAATCCTCTGATTTGTGTGCGGGACGCATTTGTGGTCTGACTTTGCCAGTTCTTAGCATGATTGTTAGAAACTGCTAGAGATTGGTTAAACGAGCTAGTGGAGCTGCTTTCTTCAGACAGGTAAGGAGGGCGGAGGAGGGATACGCCGCTGTTCCTGTTTGCCGCATTGTTACTTGTGTGATTCAGTGTAGTTCTTGTCGCACTGTTCACAGTAACCGCTGTGTTTACAGCTCTGTTCACGACGTCACTAACCCAACTAAAGTCCATTCCACTACCACCTTGACTTCCAACTTCTCTCTCATTGTTTTTCCAGCCCTCACTTAATCTACGATCAGTACCCCCACTATTTCTAGCAGGGTTACCCCCACTATTTCTAGCAGGGTTACCCCCACTATTTCCAGCAGGATTACCTGCCCCAATTTGAATTCTCCGATTCTCACTCCTTCTATTACTCTTGGTCTTTTGTATACGTGGATTGGGCTTGGTCCGCTGTTTGCCAGAATTGTTATCCGTTCTGAATGTTTTCCTTAAAACATCATCATGAATAGATATGATCGATCTCTTGGTCCCTCTCTGTTGAATGAGTTTTGGGGTCAAACTAGTCGGAACTCCAGTCAGTTGCTGTCTTTGTTTTTGCTTTCGTTTTGTGGTTGATTTCCCGGGAACCTGACAATTATGGAGGATTAACATTCAATTAACTTTCAATTAATTTAACTGGCTTTCAATGTGATAATTTTAATGTGGTAAACAATATCTTCTGACCTCTTACAAATATTATACAGGGTATATTTCGATATAGATTTAGATAATGATTGCAGGAATCCACTCTTAAGGAGAAGTTTCCAGTTTGATATATACCGTACATTGCCAATTTCTCATTTTTTAAAAAGTTCAAAACATTCAGTTCAAAACAAACCAATACCTGAGAAATTGAGGGCTCTGTCTTTGTTTCCAGAACTTTAGCAAGATCATCAGGATCTTTAGAGAGGATTATTTTACTTAAACCATCAACATCGTGCTTCAACTTGTGTTTTTCCGAGAGGACTTCGATTAGTTCCTTTTGAGTTACATCCAAATTTTCCGGAAATTGAAGTTCAAGCAAACTGTCATTATTGACAAACTGTTGGATATGGTAGCGAATAGAAGAATTTACAGCCAGATCTTCCTTGGATATTATGATAACGGACTGAACGGAGGGAACGGTTTGTTCGGCTTCTTTTATGATGAGTTCCATTTTGTGCAGATGTGAATTCTTTTTAACTGCCATTATCTCACCAGTGCCCTCGTAAAGTAGTGTAAGATTATATTTTTCACAGAACACCTCGAACAATTCCTTTTCAGTCTCACTGATTCTATAACAGAACTTCATTTTTACAAAACTCTTATCCTCCTGGAATACAGAAAACTGTTCTCGAATACTCGAAGATTCAACTTCGGCTTTCTCGACCTTTTTTATCTGTCCATCAATTATCTCATCGTCGAAAATAAGGTTAAGACCAACAGAAAGTAAGAAATGAAAGGCATTGTTTGCGCAGTCACTTCTGGACTTACTTTCGGTTTTGCTGAAACCTTTAGCAATGAATACTTTGTTAATTGACAAAGACGCTCTCCACTGAAGTCTCGGAACTCCAGCGAAAGGTCCCTTCACATCGAACTCACATGATACTCCAACAGCTTCTGTTATTTCTGTTATGATACCAGGAAGATTGTGTTGACCAACAACTTTCCTCGAGACGACGCCTTGGTATTGGTCCAGTTTAAGAGGACGCAAATTACGGAGGTTAGAGCTTACGTTCAGACGATCGTACTTCGTTTTAGCTAGTTCTTTCAGAGAGAAAGGTAGAAGCGGGTTCTCGACGAACTTTTGAGAGAGGTCACAACTTGATATATTCTGAAAATGAAGACATGTTACTTGAAACTGGTCGATTTAGAACTCAATTTGAAACTCAAATTCTGGACTATCTTCGATTCATTCCTTTTGAAAAATCTAAGATATATGCATATATAAATATATATATTTTTTAATTTGGATGAAAGATAAATTAAATAAAAAGAAAACAAGATGCTAAAGATAGATTAAATAAACATTATAAGCAAGACGGAAAATAGTATTCGTTAAAAAAGTTTACCTGTCCTTCATATTTGTTAGGTAAACCATCGTCTGAGGGGCCACTGCACTCATCAGTAGGATAAGCTGCAAGGTTGTGCACGAGAGAATTGGTTTTGGAAACTCGAATAAAATTGCTAGTTACGTCTTTACGAAGACTATACTGATTGCTTTTACTGATAATTTCCGATCTTCTCCAGTCGTCCGCAACATGTTTTAGAAATTTACCTATAACTCGAAGCTGCACTATGTTCGGATCCATGATGAATTCTTCCATAAATATTTGGAAGTTTCTTTTAAATGTGGTTTTGTCTTCTCCCAGATCTTCAATGGGCTTTGCAACAACAAACCTATCTTCCAATGTTATAGTATCCCACAAAGTGACTCCTTTGTGCTGCAAATATTTTATTGCAGTAAGGGTAGCACATTCTTTAGCTGCTTTACGATTTTTTCCAAATCCGTCGGATACATGAATATCGTTCATATAGATTGAAACCTTGCACCTGTTAGGACCTGGATTACCAACGCATTTCTTCTCATCTAGAACTATTTGAAGAGGAATTTTTGCACTTCCGCAAATATTTCGAAGAATTTGCGAAACGACAGGTTTGTCCATTTTGTAGCACCCAGAGAAATGTTCCAACTTCAGATCCCGCAAGGTTAGATGTGGATTAACATGTTTGACATCAAACTTTATTTCATTCTGGTTTGGTTTTTTCGCTTGCGTATTTGGTGGTTTTGCAGAATTCTGGACAGTCTCCACTTCCTGAAATTGGAGACAGATTTATGATAACCTTTAAAAGGAGAAATAATATAATGCAATAATTTATGTGCAAAGGAACAAAGAAATATGTCAACATGTTTCATTCACAAAACCGCCTCCCCTCGGCCCTCGACTACCCCTCGGCTGATTACGTAATACACACGTGAACGACCCCAGCCCTGAGTCCCGAGAACAAAAAATTCGCTAAAAACCTTAAAGTTTGAGTAAAGCTCCACGACATCTTCCTGACTTGGTGACCCATTAATATCAGTGACCACATCACCTTCAACATCATCCATATCCTGTATATTTTCTTCACCATCGCCCATCTTCTCTTCATTATCGTCACCGCCAGCTCCGTAGTCAAGTTCGTCCTCTTCATCGCCTGCCTTCTTTACCACAAATTTATGATTAGCATTACTACCAGTGCTCTCACAAGTAAGTCCATGTTCTGTCACAAATCTGTGCACCAAATATCTCTCGTGACTGGAAATGTCACCAGCAAATTCTATCTCTCTTTTGGACGAATCCTTCAAGAATAGTAGAAGCTTTTCCTCGACTGGATCCAGTATTTCTTTCTCATCCTCAATGATTTCTCTTAAAGAATTGTCCATTAATTCAGGTTCAGGATTACTACTAGTTCCACCGTCACCAGCAGAGTCGTGCATACTACCATCAACCTTGCATACTTCTGGTGGATCATCTAGCTGTCCTACAGACTGCTCAATAATTATATGTATTTTATTAGGTGCATCAGAGTGTTGAGCTGAAGCGTCTAGTGTTTGCTCTGGTGCAGCATCAGACCGAGGTTGGGGTGGCAGATTCGAAACGGGTATTTTCGTTTCCTCTGGAGGAGGGCCGAAGCCATGTTTCGAGGAAGAAGGATCTGGAAGATTCACTGAAACATCTTCCTTGAAGTTGACTGGTGACTCAAGGAGGATGTCGGTGGGATTGCTCTCGTTCATGAACTAAAACTGAACATATAAGTTAGAGTTAGCATACTAGAATAATCTTAGATATCACAAGAAATGTAAATAATCCGAATACCCATCACCTAATTCAGTAGAATTTAAATGCCGAAAGATTTGGTTAATACAATATGTTATATGTATAGGGAGATTGATGTTTAAAAATGTGGACCATCTTCCCATTAACAAGAGTCTATGTTATAACGTTTAAACTTGACACGCACACGTTAAATTGCAATAAAATGACAATAAAAGCATTAAATAATATGTGGAATAGAAATAGTATAGATACAACTTAAACACCAACTTGTCAAATATTAAAATGAAGATTAGAAAAATGTCACTCTCTTCGCTGAATAATAAAGTTATCAGTTTTCGTCGACTTAAAGTGACTCGATTCAAGTGTTCTGCTTTCCGTCCGGATTTTGGAGGCTCCCTCCAAAGAACAAACTCGAGTTAATGGAGTTAATTCTGATAACGGTCTTTTAGATAATTACCTATTAGAGGTAAAACTCCAAAACTTTCAAGATCTGAACTGACCCTTGATATTCTTGAGAGTCTCTTTTACCGGTCACTCTGTCACATGTGCATTTGCATTCTTTGCTTCTTCTTTTGGCTGAAACAAAACCGGTTTAACTACTGAATCCTATTTTAAGGAAAACCAGCAAAGTTTTAAGGAGGGGTCGCTTTTGCAATTTACAAAATTTACAGCCATGGATTTCAAAGCTAATCCTCATTTTTGCGATAGTTCTGAATGTAAGCTTACTGTTAAAATGATACATTTGATTATTCATTGAACGGTGAACTGCAAACAAATATCATGTATTATATTATATATTTCATGTGGTACCTGCCCTTGAAAATGGGTGTACATTGTACAATGTACAGTGATGTACACAACCAGACTCCAGTTATATACAGACAGATTGTAGATGAAGAAATGCCTATTTACTATTTAGGCGGGAACGAGTATTTTCCCGCCTAAACACACCCATGACAATCCTTATTAGGAATAACAAGGTCAGTCCAGCAGCCGCCATTTCTATTTCTACTTTCTACTCAATGTTAAATTAGTTTCGTACATTTGTCATTTTGTTCTTCTCTCTCATCAGTGACTGTTGTGTCTGAGACAGAATTTTAGATTTTATCATTGACTTTCTTATTGTAACACTTTTAAATGACTGTTAATTGACTGCACTTGAAAATCGTTCGTTTTGAGTTCTAAACTTACGTTGAATTATCCGATAACATTTGATTGGACTATGTAGGAATCTTTATCCTGGCGCTAAACCCTGAGCAAGTAAAGATGTTCCCTAAATTCCTCTAAAAACTCCTTTTGGCCTTCCCTTACTCCTTACATCTTAATTTTAACTTTATAACCGTTTTAAGAGTGTTCAGATTTTTACTAACTTTTTACAATTTCTAGGGCTTATGTCACTGAAGATGACGCCTTGCAACATGTTTGACGATAGCCTGTAAATTGATAGTTTGATCTCAGTATTTACAACAATTCATCTAGTTTGATTGATTCAAAGGGAAAAAAATGCCTCTTGTCCTCTAAAACTGATATACCCTGCATTTAGCGGTCAAATTTTAAAACTGTTTTTTGTATTGATATTACATTCGCAGTTGTATTAGCTGTGGTAGAAATGAATTACAATTATATACTTGCGACTGCTGGTCAAGGTGAACAAAGCAATATGTCTGGTAGGTTTACTGATTCAGTACTCGCGGACTACTACTATTTTAAATATTTTCAATAATAAAGATCATTATTTTGAAGTAAGACTAAGACGATGGGCTATTTATCTCTAACGTGGTATTTTTCAGAGCTCACTACGTTGGAAGAGTACAAAGTAAAAGGTAAAGAAATCGTTGAGAAGTACTGTGTTTCGGAATATGAGACTCCGATAATGCTACCACCTGCTCCGAGCAGACGAAACATCAACATAGACAAAGAGGGGGGTTCCAGCAGAGATTTTGATAATGAAGAGTGTCTGCAGGCAAAATATGAGGCAGAAGTGATCATGATGGTGTATCGGGCACTGGAGGGACTGAGTGGAGACTTCTTAATTCTGCAACAGTTCCAGTATACTCATCACCAACATAGACTGTGCGATACCAGACATGTTAGAAGTAATTGTGTGGCTTGCAGAAAGAATCCTGCAGAACAAGAAGGCGACATCGATTTTTTGGTTATTGGAAGGAACTTTATTGTGATAGTTGAGGTGAGTAATATTTCCCTTGTCAAGAAAGTGGCCAAAGATTTAACCGAGAAAGAAAGAAAACAACTTTCTCTGGCATTCGAAAAATCCCAAGACCAGGGAGATAAAATGAAATGTTTAATTGAGAGCATGATGAAGAATGGCCCGGAGGAATGTTTGGTATTTAGTTTCTCCGCTTTTCCAAGTACACCCCGTATTCTTTTAACTGACATGGATGAAGAGCAGAAGAAGCAGATCATCTGCCAAGAAGATTTCCTTAATTTCAGGAGCTGGTGGTGTACAAATGTAACGAACTTCATTACAGGAGATGCTATCGATATTATTCAAAAAGAAGTCAAAGAAACAATTATTGCTATATGGTGCACTGATGAAAACATGTGCGATGAACAGAGGTGTAGTTTAGGAAAGTGTGTAGTGGAAATTGATAAGTTGTTAAGAAAGGAAGATATAGTATCTCCTAGTTCAAACTATCCACTAAATCATGATGTAAGGAAGGGATCTGAAGTTGAAGCTGTGAATATTAACAACGGAGTTCACATCTTTAGAGATATCATCGGAGTAAAGAATTTGACATCAGAACAATGCGAAACCTTCAACAGGGATGATAACCTTCTATTCATAAATGGACTGTCAGCAGGTTCAGGGAAAACCATAATTTTGTTAGCTAAGATAATACAGTTGATCTCATCTAGCAAAGTGAACAGAGCTGTCTTCTTCGTTAAAACTAGCAACTCCAACATTTTACATTATAAAAATATTTTTGACGAGGCTGATATCGGACACAAAACTGTGGAAGCAATCTTTCACAAGGATTCGTTAGATACCTTGGTAGAGGTGATATCAGAGCACAATAACCAGGTAGTGATGGTTAACATAGTGAGATATTGTGGTTTTATACAACTTATGGAGAAACTAGTGGGAAGGAATGTGCACGTTTTCGTAGATGATTGTCAAGCAGCGCTGTACACACTACATCGTGAGGACCTACTAAGTAGATTTAAACAATTATCATTATCCAACAGAGTCTGGATTACGAGTGATTTAACCCAGATAAGCTCTTTTTATGAAATTGTCATGTCGGAAGTGTACGAGCCAATCATTCAACTCATACCAGCTGACAATAGAGTTAATTTATCGTTGAACATGAGAAGTACTGGCGATTTAGCGGGTATCTTATTGAAGATAAGAAATGAAATAGTTGATTCTAACAATAATTTTGAGTCTAGAACTGACAATATAGAAGTTTTGTTACCAGCCCTAAAACCAGGACATGCAATACAGGGACCTCGAACAGTTCTGTACGTCATCAATATGAAGGATACAGAAACCAAATTAACTTCAATCTTGAACAAAGAATTCGATAAACTACACATTAATACAGATGTTCCTTGTGGGTTCAAAGTAGGCGTTGTGAAGTACAGATCTGGTAAAATGGAGTGGTGTGTGGTGGACTCTTGCTACTCGACTGAGTACCCTGCTGTTATTGTATTAGACCATATGGAACAATGTCCATTACCTTCCCTCTACCTGAAGATGTCACGAGCTAGAGTATACTGTGTTGTGATAATGATAACATCTAATGTGGACGGAGAGTATGATCCACGTTGCCAATCTCCTCCTCCGTCATATGAACATAAACGATTGTTAAAGAAACTCAAAGATTCTGTCAGAATAATCGATATGACTATGAGTGAGGATTGAGGAAAGCGTTAATGATGTTGAATGTTGACGAATTTGTGGCCGTCTACAATGAGTATTTTAGACTTTAGTAGCAATATTAAATTATCTTCTTAATATGTAATCGTTATTATGTATAATTTCTCACACATTACTTCATAAAGATACGTGTTTAAAGTTTTAACGAGGTGAATTTATTCCACTGATTAGAAGCACATAGAAATGTGGCGGGGGGGGGGGGGGGGGGCACTAAAATTGCAATTAATAATTTTACTGAAAGCAATGTTTCTATCCTCTCTTATCTCTTGAACATGAACTTTCTCTTATCTTGCATCCAGTATCTATATCTTGAAGGTATTATATTAACTTGGCTAACATAGTATTAATGTACCTTGTAGGTTTATCTCCAGCCATTATTGCCTCTCTGTCCTTTAACTCTTTCATCTTCTCCTCATACATTGCATCTCTAGGTGGAGGTCCCCAGCTGTTGATGGCTGCTAATGCTTCAGGAGGGTAGGAACAATCTGCCGGATATATTATGTGATCAAACAAAGAAGAAAACAATTAAAAACAGAACGTAGTGCAAATTGAAAATGAATGAACCTAGAAAATGTTTAAAACGATCCTATGAAATCACATCACTAAGAAGAGATAGTAAACACGCATATCTAAGGAGAGATAGCTAGCCGGCATACTTAAGAAATGATAATTAGCCCACACGTTTGCCAGGGCCACCGCTCTACTTTCCCCCAACTCTTCTTTGTGCTCCTCAAACATCTTCTTTTTACACTGGTATTGGTAGGTACTGTCCCACGGTTTTTCTCCCTCCATCACTAAATAGAGAGTCTAGTTTAGTGGAGCCATGTTAAACTAAACAGAAGAATTTGAGGTATGAGGAGAAAACTGTCGAAATAATGCAATTAAATTTGACAAATATATTTAAAATTTGGGTTTGAATAATCGTTTGATATTCAAATTTCAATAAAACATGATTATGATAAGATAAATTGTGCAGCTTACAAAATTGGTCAAATCCGTCCAATAGTCGACTGTTGTTAAAAATAAAATAAAAAACCCCAATCAGTTAAAACGCAGAAGTAAAGTAGATTCATCTGGACGAAACAGAACAGCTGAAAGTTAAGTAATAAATTAAATCATCTCCCTCATCACGTTTCTTCCTCTTCGTCCCCAAGAAAGTATCTCTTCTTGGCAGTGTTCATATACGGTCTCAACTTCCACTCGATATTAGTGTGATTCTGCTCCAAGGTGCCTTGTCTGATTTCAAATAACCTCATCTCGAACCTGGGACCTACCTCGGACAGCTCGATCTTGTTATCTGGCCCGGTGTAGGTGTGATGTCTGAAGGATATGTAATCCTCACTGTTAACGAACGACATAACTCGTTTACTCTCGGGTTTTGGAACAGGGAACAGGTATTTTAATATACTCTCAAGACGCTTTCCCAGTTTGGTAGTGAAATTCTGGAAGATAAGGTGAGGGTAGACCTCCTGAACAGGTCCAACATTGGGGATGTCGTGCCTCATGACCACATTGGAGAGGGAGAAATAAGCAGTAGGGCCGTAAGGGAGATGACAGATGACAATGCTGTCCGGGACACCACGGTGCTCATGTAACACTACCAGATCTGTCACATCGTTACTTTTACACGCCTCTACCAGATCCTTCACCACGAAGTGTCCACGGTTGAGGCGCTGACAGTTTGGGAGAATGAGACGGATCTCCTTTGCAAACTGTTTGAGTCGAGAGGAGGGGTCGTGGGAGGTGGTGAGCACTAGTTTGGGGTCTTGTACTCCCGCGTACAGATACTCGTCATCTATAGAGTTTATTGTCGTATCCGCATTCCCTGGCATATTAAACTGTCAGTACAATCTTATATTCGGTAGCACGCTAACAATAAGGTAAACCGTACGACAATCTGATGAAAGGTTGTCAAACTTTGATAAAAACGGAAAGTTCTTACCGTCAAGATCGATCTGTTTCTGAAGGTTGATCGCATCCTTCTTTAATTCAGTTGGTATCCGTTTACCTTCCTCTACAGCTACTTTTAGCTGAGCCTTCCTCTCAGCTGTAGCTCTCTCTTTCTCCTCGAGACCCTACGAAATATTATTATTAGGATTGTGGGTTACCTAGTATTTTATCCGAATGGTATTATTGACAACAGAATATTTTACAACAGAATGGCATTAACATTGAACAAGTCGAAATTGAGAGTTCCACATTTTGCGGCCGCGGAATAAAAACGATATGATTGAAACAAAATGATGAAACTAACCTTGCGGTAAAGATATTCTCTTCTCAATCGTGTCTGCCTTCTTATCATGATCTTATCTAGTATAGAAGTACAGATTTAATTTCGATCTTTCAATTTCATAGCAATTCAAATAAGTAATTTGATGCTTAGAAATACAGTTTTTAAACCAAATGGCAACAATATCACTCAGTCTCATATGTGATATGATGTATTAAAGAATGGAAACATCAAAATTATCAATATTAGAATAAAGTGGATGGTAAAATAAATAAGATTTGTGTCAGATTTAGTTTGATCTGCAAAGATAAAAATTCTATGAAAATAAGCAATCAAGAAATTTTAAAAAGCGAAGTTTACAATAAATTATCTTCATTTAAAGCTTAGTTCGTGATAAGGTCCTCGCCACACTCCTCTAAAATTTCTGACACAGCCTTGCCAATGGGTTCATCCTCTACATTCCAGGATACATGGATAACAGACCTCCCTCCCTCTGTTCGGCACGTGATGTGAACTGAATTCAAGTTTAGTGTACCGTCATGCTGCCGCTTAAACGTACCTAATTTCTGGTCTGATATAATGGAGGACAGCTGAGAGTGAAGTCTCTCCATGATCACGGAACCTTCTAGATTTAGTCCTGATAGACAGAGTTTGTAGTTGAGATTGAGGGTATGAGGTTTAAGACCGAGCTGCTGGACTGCTTCCTCTTTTGATAAGAGGACGAGTTGGTTGTTCTTCCGAACCACCATTCCTTCAAACTGATTCCCAGCACTACGCACTGTTTTGAATGTTTCTTTTGACATGGTAGCGGAGACTTGGGGCTGACAAGGAATGTTTATCTGTTCTCCGTTAGCGGGTTTAAACGACGGTATCTCGAACTGATCCGTTATTTTTTCCATTAAAAATGTCATTTTTCTCTCCTCTCCGTGAACTAAAACGACATTTTTAGGCTGACAATTTTTAATGAGTTGGAGAATTCCTTTTGCATCAGCGTGGGCACTGAACGATAAATACTCGACCGTCATGTTGACAGTTATCGGCCCTTTATCTGTATCAACCTTTCTTGAGCCATTTAGAAGTTTGTGACCCATAGTACCTGCCACACAATAGCCAGGCATGATAATCATGTTCTTAGCTTCGTGACACCAGGCTTTGAAGATACTGAGGGACATGCCAGAATGCAGCATACCAGGAGTAGCGAACACCACCATTGGACCCGGGTTATTCATGTAGGACCGGTCAAAGGCTGAAATGTGCTTGAAATCGAACATGTTCCGGTTAACAAACGAAGATTTAATCTTCTCATTCGTCCACGTGATAAAAAGTTTGTAGTAATTTGTAGCTTTCTCAGTCAAACCGTGACAAAAGAATACTGGAACCTTCAAGTTCATTCTCTCCCAAAACTCCTCGACAAGAATACAAAGTTCCTGAGCTCGACCCAAAGCAAATACTGGAATCAGCACTTTCCCACCAGCCTCGACACAATTGTAAACTTTCTTCAGAAAGTCTCGTTCACGACATCTCTTGGAGTCGCGTATAGTGGTAGCGTAAGTGGACTCAGAAATAAGAACAGTCGGATTACACCGGTCTACCCAGGCACAACCCAAATGCCGGTCTGGTGTCATGTTGTAGTCCCCCGTGTAGAGAACTGATTGGTTCCCCACTTTTACCAGGAACATTCCTGCTCCTAACACGTGACCTGAATAACACTTTGCTAAAAAGTGCTAAAAATAGCATTATCTTATATAATCATGATAATTTCCAAACTACGCCTGCTCAATATCTGAATAAAAACTAATGGTTGGTTGCAGGATGACTCACCTGCGTAGTAACACTTGACACTGATATCCTTGTCGACTTGTATCGTTTCGTGAACCCTTATCGTCCTTACTTTCTTAATACATTGCTTTATTTGTGGGGTCGTGAAGAAGTCTGTCTCTCCGTACCTGTGGGGGACAAATCAAGTTGTCAAGTAACAACCTTATGTTACCGATATTATATATTTAATCGTCGTCAATAATTAATAATTCAAATAACTCTTAACTTTTAAGTATTGATTGAAGTTAACAATTTATTATGTAGCTAACTAACCTGTCGACAGTTATTTTCCGGTAATCTTCCAGCAATATAGGAGCTATGGCCCGAGTAGGGGCTGTCATGATAAGAGGGCCATTATACCCAAATTTCTCGGTGAAATAAGGCAAAGAACCACAGTGGTCGAGATGAAAGTGAGATATTATCAGGCAATCTATGACATCTGTAGCTCCGCCAGGCTGGCAAATGTAGGAGAAATCTGGGAACCTTCTCTCGTCCTGATATCCCATATGCATCCCACAATCAAACATTATATTCTTTCCGCCCATCGAGACAAGCACACAACTTCGACCCACATCCTGGCCCGCCCCAAGTGGTACTATCTTTATATCTGATGTCATGTGATGCTGAGAAGTTGAGTGTAATTTTAAACAATTGTTGGAATAATCCGGGTTATAGCTTATAAACAGGAAAGATAAGAATATGAATAGGAAACCTTTTGTGAGAGAAATCAAATCTGTGCATGAATATATTTATTATTTACTCGAGGAGTTCGCTCTATAATGAAACAAGCAATCTTGTAAAAACTGATAAAATTAAAATTGAATAATTAATTGATTATATTCGTGTGAAATGTAGATAAAATAACGTTATTAGATTTTAATTTAGAATAAAAAAGATGTACAAACGTCATTTTAATTTGACGTCCGACCACTTCAAATTAAAAACAATTAAAATACGGGCATTAAATTGTGATCGATTGAAAATATGTTAAATAAAAACTGCCCTTCCGTAAACGAAAGCAATATATCAATCTGATAACTATTAAAAACTTCTGAGACCTTTCTTTGGAGGTTTCGATAAGCATTATTCGATATCTTGGCTCAATATGTTTATTGTTTTACTTATTTGAGGTGCCTGCCCGGTCATCCTCCTTCTTTATCATATCATCAGAGACTGGGTCGGGGGATGTCTTAGCTTTCTTGTTGAAGAAATTGTCCAGAGTGTTCGACTTCCTTTTCTTAGGTGGCTCTGAAATGCACAGTGAAATAAACTTTCAAGCTCACTTCATAACGTTTCAGTTTATAATTTTAGTTTTTACCAGTGGCTCAGTTTTAGTTTTATGGTGAAAATTGCGAATAGAGTAATATGTTGGTTTACCAGTCCTAGCGAAATTTATTTCGAGCTTAAAGAACTTTCAGATTTCAATGCGTTATGGAATGGTGTCTTAATTAACGACTTAAACCAATAAACTTGTAATAAAAGATATTCACGTATTACTTATTTTAACAGATATATCCACTGTTCACTTCTTAACATGAACTATTTTTTAAATATGTTAACTCTGAAAAAGTCATGAATGGATGATTGGAAAGCTTATTTTATCACTAGTTATCCCCCAACCCCCCCCCCCCCCCCCCCCCCTATTATGAATCATCTTGAATCTAACCTGTTTTCTGGATGCAGTGAGGTCCATTCGTTGACACACTATTGACCACCTTGCTTACTGGATAGAGGTCAATGCATAGTCGGGACGAAAGAAGAGGTAGCGTTTCCTTCGCCTTAAGCGTTCCTGTGTGTAACCACTTCTTTACTTCTTCTTCCGTCTCCAATAGCGCCTGCAGATAAATGTACTTAATAGATGAAATTTACCTGATATTCTATTTCCATTAAAGAAAAGGAGAGATTTTAGCTCAGTTAATGTACAATGAATACCCACAGGCATGCGATGGTGTAACCAGCTCATTGGTGCTGAGGCACTGACTGTGATGACACTAGCGGAGTATAGTATACAATCCTCGTTATTCAGTCGACATTTGTCATATAGACCTGCCATCATTAGGAGCTGAAACGTTTCAAATTTTCAACGCTAGAATTGCAAGACGTTCATGAAACATTCACATAAAACAATTATTTATTATCTAAAAAGTAACACTGCAGACCACGCGGTGGTAACGTTAAATATTATGAGTTAAATATAAATAATAATACCAATTAATTATTCTAGTCCCTCAAACTAACATTTCTCTCCCCGCTTTCATCTGAATTTTTCCTGTGGACAAAGTAGGGTATTTTCTCCGCTCCTTTAGTGGAACTCCATTCGTAAAAACCGTCAGCTGGTATCACACAGCGCTGTCCTTTAAAGAAAGCTTTAGAGTAGATTTGTGATTCTAGCAAGTTCTCAGCCCGGCAGTTGTGCGTGGACAATTTGAAGTCTTTGATCGACTTGGTGTGACTAGAGGGCACCAAACCCCATCTCATTGACCTGACATCCATGGTTAATAACTTCTAGTTTTACAAGTTTGCAAGTTGCTTATAGGCTCATATATTACCACACAAGTTATAATGTGTTGAAGATATAAATTTCTCACCTAAATTTCCGTTCTCCCATCTTTCCAAACAGAACCGGTATCTGAGAGGTTGGAGGTAGATTGTACCCGGGTGTGTGATAGCTACCTTCCCACTCTGGTCTCATCATCTGGGTTGTTATCTCAGAGTTAGACTCGGCGTATAGCTTAAGGTCTATTTAACATCTTTTGAAATTCCACTGAGTTCTGTGATTAAGCTATGTTTGAAACTGTCCAGTAAATGTACTTACATTTCCTGCGCTATCCCGAAACTGGCACCTCACTGTTAAATTATGCCCCTCCAGTACGCATATTAATCTCCCGCACATCCTAACCCTAAATGTTATGTGATGAGTCAGTTTAAGTAAAACTAGCGTGGAAACCTGACTGATATTTAAGAACGTTCATGTAAAATCCAGATTTCTGTTAAGAGGAACGCGCGTTCTAAGAATGTTATGATATCAGCGTACACGGCGTCGCGCCTTCCAATAAGTTGAATTGTTAATGTGACCGATTGTTATATTCCTTAAATTGCACAACAAAAACCAAGAAAATGATACAACTAGCTGAGGCGGTACGTAACAAAATTCATCTAATTAACTAATTTTATCATAAAACGTGCCATATACAAAATTGTAGCAAATTCGCTCTTTAACTCGGAGAGGGTCTGGTAAAATATTTTGTTAATAAATGTGGTTAGTAAAACATGATTCGAAAACTCTTAATCAGCGAAACGTGAATTAGGATGGATACAAATATGTTGCTTTAAAATGCCGCAGGAGGGCGGATTATATTACCTCAACCCCAAAAAGTTCGATACCAAAAAATTATAAATCAATTTGATCACAAAAATTGCGCAAAAAGTTTTGTCCTCGTTCGGGCGACGAAAAAGTTGGAAACTTAATAGTAACTGTCTTTATATTTTTGGCAAACTTTTCAGAATATACAAGGTACTGACTGCAAATACAATTACAGTATCTTTGAATTACATTTTACGGCTCAGTTTTCCCCCTCAAATTGAGTAGTGTTTAGTAGGAGGCATCACGGCTCTCGACAAAGTAAAACGTAGGAAATAACTGGTGAAACTATGTGTGTATATGAAAATAATGAACGTTTCGGCACTCATTGGCCTTTTACAAATATTTTAATAATCTTAGTGAAAAGCCAATGAGTGCCGAAACGTGGAATGGTGAGAGCCGTGATGCCTCCTACTAAACACTACTATGTTAAAAACTCACGCTCGGCCTTACGAGATCCCATCAAATTTACAAATTTCGGAATTTTTTACGATTCTTTCTCTGTACAAAATTCTGATCTTTATATCCACACTCATCAAAACTTTCTCTATTTTGCACAATTTCAGTCCAAATCATCCTCGTGTATAGTTTGAGATTGACTGGTGGGTAGAGGAGGTGTCGGCTGATTCGTCTCCGCCGCAGAGTTAGCAGAATGGTCCTCCAGATCAGGCAGACTGTCTCCCTCCCCAGACAGGTTCACCATGGAAACGTCCTCCATGGAGGCATCCTGCTGTCCGTCTATTGAGATTCGGCAGATGGGACAAGAATTGTGGAGCTTCAACCACGGTACTATACAGTCAATGTGGAAGTAATGGTTACATGGTAGCTCTTTGACCTTCATATCCTCAGTAAAATATTCCTGACACACTGTACAGTCAAGCTTATTTTCTATGTGTTTTTTGGGTACATACACCTCAGGCAGTGAGTCAATGGTTTGCTCCTGTGCAGGGGGTGGCCCGGACCCATCTAGTTGTCCGATCAGTTGAGAGATGATATTGTCAAGCCCAGTTGGTCCCCATGCATAGTCACCAGGATTACCAACCATAGGCTGTGGATCTCCACTCAGCCCGGACATTATCATACTGAACAGTGTAGGGACGTCTGTGTTCCCGTCAGCGTTCAGACTATCCCCTAGTACAAACCTGAATCTGCTGGTTCCGCCAGGTCCCATTCCCTTATAAAAATATCTCTTTTAGATAATTTTATGTAATTGGGTAATATTTTGAAGTATCGAGAAGTAATCGGAAAATTACTGATTTAGTTGAACATATAACTCTACAAAAGCACAGTTGCAATATCAAGATTGTCTAAGGCGTCTACAATACTTGGATTCAATTAATGTAAAATTTAGAAATACTGATATCTGGATATTATCCGGTTGGAAGAGACAAGGACAAGTGAAACAAGGAAGTTAGGAGTAAGGGCAAATTTTCGGCGTCAACGCCATCTTCAGGCTAAAATTGTTATAAATGTTAGTATATAATAAATGCTTCTATACTAGTTAAAATGCTAAATTAAAATTACACACACTGAATACAGGTTACATCAAATGGTATTGTACATTACATTGAAAATAGTGATGTACACACGTTTTACACTCTGTCCAAGTACATAATATCTACTGAACAGCAGGGTCGTGTGCTATTTGTTTAAATTTGTCTTTGAATATGTTGTAAAAGAAATCCCTTAAGCTTCTCGCACTCTTCTTTGTTATTGATACTAGGTTTAAATAAATTAATGTAGTAAGCTTCTGTCACTTTACGTTTAATGGTGCTATATAAGTTAATTTCTAAAATATCGAAGGAAATATCTGGTTCTATGTTATCGTGAAACTCTGAATAATGAGCAGCCAACGCATTATCAGGATAGGTTAAAGGCCTGTTGACTGCTCTTCGATGCTCTGAAAATCTATCTTGTGCTGTTCTACTCGTTTCCCCTATATATAGCTCTTGACATAATTTACACGTAACTTTGTATATGACACATTTTGGTTTGCAGTCGTGATTTGTTGTGATGAGTGGACATATGATACAGTTTGGTATGGTGCAGTGTGGTTTGTCGTGTGGTCGTGATGAACATAAGATCTCTGAGAGTTTCTTACCTGGTGTGAATATGAATTTGACCGGTAAGTTGTGTGAGAGGGCAAATTGAGTGACTTCTTTGGAAAATGGCTCGTTGATGAATGGTAGAGTGCATGTTACGTGGTCGGTATCTTGTATGTTTGATGATGAAGGGTTATGACGTGTTGTAGGTGAGAGAGGGTGAAGTCGTCCTGTTTTGTTTATACGTCGTGGGTCTTGGTAACCGTTGTTGACCAACAAGTTGTCTACTATCTTCATGGACTCTTCTTTATACTCTGGTGTTGATGAGCAAAAAGCAGCCGTTTTGTAGAAGTTCTTGATGGTTGCTACTTTAGTTCCCTCATTGTGGTGGCTGTTGGCGTGCAGTGTGATATTCTTTTTCTGCTTCAAATTCATATTCACACCACAACTCTCAGAGATCTTATGTTCATCACGACCACACGACAAACCACACTGCACCATACCAAACTGTATCATATGTCCACTCATCACAACAAATCACGACTGCAAACCAAAATGTGTCATATACAAAGTTACGTGTAAATTATGTCAAGAGCTATATATAGGGGAAACGAGTAGAACAGCACACGATAGATTTTCAGAGCATCGAAGAGCAGTCAACAGGCCTTTAACCTATCCTGATAATGCGTTGGCTGCTCATTATTCAGAGTTTCACGATAACATAGAACCAGATATTTCCTTCGATATTTTAGAAATTAACTTATATAGCACCATTAAACGTAAAGTGACAGAAGCTTACTACATTAATTTATTTAAACCTAGTATCAATAACAAAGAAGAGTGCGAGAAGCTTAAGGGATTTCTTTTACAACATATTCAAAGACAAATTTAAACAAATAGCACACGACCCTGCTGTTCAGTAGATATTATGTACTTGGACAGAGTGTAAAACGTGTGTACATCACTATTTTCAATGTAATGTACAATACCATTTGATGTAACCTGTATTCAGTGTGTGTAATTTTAATTTAGCATTTTAACTAGTATAGAAGCATTTATTATATACTAACATTTATAACAATTTTAGCCTGAAGATGGCGTTGACGCCGAAAATTTGCCCTTACTCCTAACTTCCTTGTTTCACTTGTCCTTGTCTCTTCCAACCGGATAATATCCAGATATCAGTATTTCAATCATGAGACTAATAAACAGCGAACTACTCCGTTATTTGATAAAATTTAGAAAGTCTAACGAAACAGTGTTCTTACCGGGAAGAGTTCAGGAGGTGGCACACCCGCTGAATGGGGACTAACATTGGATGTATGGATACGATGAGAATGTCCTCCAACCCTAATTGGTGTTGGGCCACTGCTAGGCACTGTGCCACTGCTAGGCATGGTGCCACTTGTGGGCATGGTGCCACTAGTGGGCAGGGTGCCACTGTTAGGGGTGGCCCCACTGTTAGAGGAACTAGAGTTGGAGCCACTGCTTAAAGTTGGCGGGGAAACTCTCATTCTCTCACCTGTCAAATTATTCTTAAATAGAAAATATAGCAGGATGAAAAAGAATTGGTTGTAAGGTTGCAGGTGCAGTTACGTTATTAATTGATATCAGTTTCTAAGTTTAATTAATAAATTTAGAGTAATAGTAAACCTGAAGCAGATGTGGCAGGAGGAGTGAAACCCTGAAACAAGGACCGCAAGTCGTTGAGATGAAGCGCCTCCATGTGACGTTGCATGTGACCTCTGCTAAACGTATCTATTGAGGTCCTGAGACCCAGATCAGCATTTCCACCTACTGCTCCCATTTCTATATCCTCCTGTGACGGGTTACAATAAATAAGAAATAAGTTACAATACATATCTTCTCTAATGAATCTTTGTGAGGTGAAGATAGGATTAAGTTTGAAAGTCTAGATTGAAAGTCTAGATTGATGAAATTTTGTAAACTCACTGGAAGTCTAGGGAACATTCCCATAGGAGGTCTAGATAGTGGCGGAGGTGTTACTACTGGCTCAATGAATCCTTCATTGCATGAAGGACATAGGAACTCAGGAGGTTGCGGGATACACGTTGTGTTACATTGATGACAGAAGTAGCGCTGTTGCTCCCCTCCAGGGCTCGACATTCTATAAGGAATTATTTATTATAGTCTATCTTAATTTCAAAATAATATCACGAGACATTGTAATATTCAGACACCGATTGCCACAATATTAAAACTTCTAAGAAATTTATATGGGGATTAAACATACATTTTAATTATCAGTTATGAACAAAGTTTGGGTAGTTACACAATTTAAAATCTAATAGATTTTCATTACACTAGTTTAATAAATCTAACTCTGGGCTAGTAAGTTCTTAATTTGAAATAGGCTCAATACTTATCTAAAATTTATTTTTATACAGTATTTACAAAATAATTAGAAATATAACATCCTGAGGCGATATTTGTTGTGATCAATCAAAAGTCCATGCTTGGTGGTAAAACGATTTTGAAAGGTGGATAAAGGTTTGTGGTGAAATCTGCAACTAAAAGTTCAAACTGAGATGAAATGTGAGTTAATTAAAATTCCCAGTAGTTAAAGAGACCCTTTGTACGGTCAGTACAATTCCAATCATTTTACACGTTAACAAAGGAATAAAGTTGGCAACTGGATTACTCGAGCTAACTCCAAGACATTAATATTTCTTTGAGAATTTTTTGTTATGTCTCTGTATCAGTTATAGTCCACTATTTTACAATCCACAAATCAACTAATAAAATCTTCACAATTCCTCACTGTATGATTTCTCAAAAACTTCATCAACAATAGATCGAGCTTTAAAGGACCCAACATTGGTGACAAGTCTGACTGAGTCAGTGGCTCTGTCTCTTACACATTGCTTAAATCTCTGTGATATACTGCACAGCTGGGGATGTTCTTGATTTCCCTCCCAAAGTTGAGCACCATATTGGTTGTGACATTCTAGACTGTATTTAGCAGCACGGATCTCTGAACGTGCCAGGGCCTTGATATCTGTCCAATCTGTATTCTGAAAAGAAAAAAAAATGGTTTTTCAATTTTGGTTAAGTCTGTCGGGGGGGGGGTAATGACTACCAATGGAGACTTTTGGGGACTAATGGGGACTAAAAATCGTGGGGACTAGAGGTCAACTCGTTGACTTAATTCACCATTTGTCCCCATAAGTCCCCAGAATTTTTGACAGTTATTTATGGTTTTCAAGTTAGTTTAATAACGATACGATCGAGATGTTTTGTCCAAGATAAGAGTAGGATAAATCTAAATGGGGACTAATGGAGACTTTTGGGGACTAATGGGGACTAAAAATTATCTAAATGGGGACTAATGGAGACTTTTGGGGACTAATGGGGACTAAAAATCATGGGGACTCGGGGTAAAATCGTTGACGTAATTCCCCAAGTCCCCAAAAGTAGTCATTAACCCCCCCGGGGGGGGGGGGGGGGGGGGGGGTAATGACTACCAATGGAGACTTTTGGGGACTAATGGGGACTAAAAATCGTGGGGACTAGAGGTCAACTCGTTGACGTAATTCACCATTTGTCCCCATAAGTCCCCAGAATTTTTGACAGTTATTTATGGTTTTCAAGTTAGTTTAATAACGATACGATCGAGATGTTTTGTCCAAGATAAGAGTAGGATAAATCTAAATGGGGACTAATGGAGACTTTTGGGGACTAATGGGGACTAAAAATCATCTAAATGGGGACTAATGGAGACTTTTGGGGACTAATGGGGACTAAAAATCATGGGGACTCGGGGTAAAATCGTTGACGTAATTCCCCAAGTCCCCAAAAGTAGTCATTACCCCCCCCCCCCCCCCCCCCCAGTCTGTCACTCTAATACCGATTTTTTAGTTACTTTTAAGCTATTGGGTAAATTGTTTTACTGAACCTTCTTATTAATTTTTACGAGAACTTCTCCAGAGGATTATTTGATTGGACAATAGCTTACCAAGTTACAAGTCGATTAAGGCTGAGTGAAAAAGAATTACGATTTTTGGCCCGGACGAAATTATAAATGCTATCAAACGTACATTTCTTGAAATATAGTTTTGACTTACATTAAGATGATCAAGAAAATGGACCAGCTCATGACTAAGAACGGTCTCAACGTCAGAGGCAGATTTGAGACTATTCTCGCACAGTAATATCTCAGGATCACTTGTTAGACCACCTTTTAAACCTAATAATAATACCTTGTAAAATTAATAATTATGGATTTGTAAACGTAACTCAGTAAGCTGAAAATTAAATATCGTTTTATTTTTACAAATGTTTTCATTTATAAACTATTCCAGGGCTGCTTTGTAAGGCTCTCGATAATTATGATTATAACAAACCTGAATTGGGACAGAATTCACAAGAAATACACGAATTTTCGAATTTGAAATTCTTCGTTTTATCGATTTTTGATATAATGTTTTTAACAATCTTGTTATTTCTGACAGCCTCTAGCTTCCATCTTTCACAATTAATATGGTCTGGTGAGTCCACTGCAGCAACTGTTTTTTCGTGTATTACGTCATTCCTTGTCATATCTATCTCTAAAAATGATCTGATATAGAGATTTCTAATTTGTATATCAATGAAAAGGTCATAAACTCATGTTAACAGGTGTAAGAATTTGTATTGAGAAACTTCTTAATATGACGAACTGGTTAAAAGGAAACTGTGTAATATGTCATTAGAAATTTCATTACATCAACAACCTTGGTAATTACTAATTAAGAGGTGCATCACCCGAGTATTAATTGCAAATGATGGCAAATGTTATTTAGATTAATTAATGAATACTGAATCCAAAATATGAACATATCATCCTTTATATTCAAACTCTATGTATTCAAAGATTTGAGCATGGCACTAAGAATTGTTATTCTCGTGAGATTTTTTAGCATGATCAATAAACCAATCCGGCAAATACTTAACATATTCAACCTGTTGCAGAGTTATGTGATTATCACCAGAATACAGCAGATGATACACTTTTCCAGTTTCTATCTGATTAAGGGCCCACTTTAGGACCTCACTCAGAAATTGCATTATGGCATCTTTGTTCCACACTTTCACACAACGCTCCTCAATTTCATCAAGAGAATAGTTCTTGACTTGAGTCACATGCCCTCTCTGATCCCTGAACCCAAAACAAGTTTGACTGATACCTGCAATATAGCACTGTAGATAAGTGTTCAATAGTTTACTACGCTCGAAAGCTTGTTTGTGATGACCGTTTAGCATTATGCGGTGTGTTTTTATCTCAACAATATTTCCCATTTTGTCTTTGCCATCAACTTCAGCAGCTAACAGACATCTGTACTGTCCAATTTTTGACGTCACAACAATATCACTTTCTTTTTGATCATCTTCAACCTCGAGAATTTCCTTTTCAAATTTATGGCCATAGTACTGAAATTTCTTTTGTTGCACTGACTCAGAGCGGCGCTTTCTTTTCTGTTCCTCAGTATCAACCTCATCCATTATGACAGTAGAATATAACTTACTTAATCTAACACACCAATGGTTTTTGTAAACATCATATTTTGTCACAGCTATTTTCTTCAAAAGTCCACGATATGTCAGAAGGCCTATATTATCAATAACAAAGTTGTTATCACATATCCACTTGAACAAAACATCCAGTGTCGGTATTTCTGATGAATCATACCAGTCTTCAAATCCATCATTAAGATCGATTGGCAATTTTGCATCATCTTTAATAGTTGGTATTGTGGCCCCATTAGAAAATATCCTGTCCTTAGACAATGAAAATTCTCCCAACATGATAGGATTGTATGCAAGTGATTTGACTGGAAGTTTATATTTCTGGCGGTCAGTAGCAGAGTCTAATAAGAAACGGGATTTGGTAAAATGTGTAGTCTGTGATCCATTGTACTTGGGCTTTTTTGAAGGACTATATTCTGGATTATTCATAACCCACAAAAACTGATGACCTGAACGATTGATTTAGAGAAGTGAAAATCAGCTAATTCATAAGCATACACATATACTCAGCAAAAAACGTTCTGAGAACAAACCTTAAGCAAATCTAGAGAACTACAAAAGCGAATACAGTTTAATTTTAGTTGACATGTAAAGATTTTGTTGAGAAATATAACTTTGTTTTGCTGAAAATAACAATCATGCGATATATCGGTCAATGAAACAAGAAATTTCAATGAAACAAGAAATTTAATTTTTAGCACATTTTACAGATTAAAAAGATGTAAAACAATTCATAGAAATATAATGCTCATTTGGTGTATGACTTTTTGTCCTCGACTGTTAGTTTGATTTTGAAGGGACAGGTAACTAACGGGGCAAGGAATGTGCGTGCCTGAAAGCTTTTGCACACACTGAAACGCTAGTTCAGTTGACTTTTTAGAGAAAAGGCTCATATTAGGATCAGAAGAAAATTGTTAGCAGACATTAGGGGTTCTGAACTTATATTTGTTACTGTGGGTTGCAGTCTTGTTGTGACAGAAAGTCTACACTATATAGTATGCTTAAGTTCATATTGTGTAGTTTGATGATATAAAATGCAACTTCAAGATGGATATTGGAGAGCTGGTGAAAAATTAAGGCCTTTGTAACAATGGTTATAATCAGCTATAAATATCTTAAACTATACAGTGCTAATTAAAAATTTCTATATACTTCATTCTCAAATTAAATCTTAAAAATTCAAAGATATACATTCATTTTATTAAAACACATACTTTACTCACAGAACAAGACTTGAAAAAACACTAGACTAGGGGAATTTCGTTCAGATGTGTGTGGCCAGCAAGTAGTGATCTTTGGAAGACAATATTGTTAGTGATATATCAGTGTCATAGTATAGTGTATGGTATCATGCTGTACAGGAGGGGGATCATCAAAGGGGGCACTTTTTCCCCAAATTGTGGAACTTTTAAAATAAATTTGGTAGCGAAATGTACTGTATCCAGGCCGACATAACATTTGTCTGGTACGAAAAAATATTGAATTTATGCAAAGCTCCAGTGGAGGAGCCAAAAAAGATCTGAAATTATTTAAGGACCTTTTAGATAAATCTCCTTAAATTATTTTAATGCAGTCACTCAGATAAGTTTATACCAGGACACTTTAACAAAGACACATACTTTGC